CTTTTGGAAGGCCAAACAAAGTAGTTTCACTTTCATAACGAAGCACACAGCATCTTCACAACATTGCGGTGCCGGCAACAATACTACAGCGAGAATCAAAGTTATGCCTTCTTTCTTTGCGTGAAAGTTTGGGCGGTGTTATGCAAATGTTCCCACACAGTGACGTAGACATGTGGGGGCGTGTTTAAACAAGGCATTTTAGGAGGGCGGGGACGAGTCTTAACTATTATAAAGAATATCTCTTTGGGTTTGAGACTTTGCAACTTTAGGGATCTTATCTATTCACGAACAGCTTGTAACACTCCAAAGAGAAAGGAAAACTTGAAATCGCATCATATGACCCCTTTAACCTTAATAATATGAACAAAAGCAAGCATGAGATAAAACACATTCGCTAACCATGTCATAGCTTGCTTCTACAAGACTTTTGACTTTTGAGGTCATAGTATTGTGTGAATAACTGCATGAAAATAATTCTTTATTAGTCGATAATCTGACCTTGTAATCATAATTTGTGTGAAAAGCAATAAAAGTTTTTGGTGTTTTACTACTACTATTGGTCATTTCAACTGGAATATGCAGTGAATTGTGTTTATAGGTACATTTCTTGGAGTTTTGCAAGAATGTAGGAAAAGGCATTTTTTCCTCCAATGAGCCTATGTTGTGTAAAATCAATTCAAATTTCAATGTAGGAATTTAAAAGATATTCTCAGTTCAATTCTGAATAAGGGACAACCCTGTGATCTACAGGCCTTGTTTATTTTAAATAGAAAACTGCTGTTCTAAAAACCTATTAGAAATTAACCTACAAATTGATGTTGTGAACATCGTAAAAGTAAATGATTAGTACCATGGAAAACAATGGCTAAATTGAATCTTTTAATGGTCGTCTGTTGCTGTGTAACAGTTCAAAGAGTTCATGGTAGAAAGGAGATGGCACTTACCCAGTAAAGCATTCATTTAGATTCCATGGGGAAAAGGATTGTTTCATCCTTTTATTAATTCATATAAGAACATTTACATCTTGTTAAAACATTGAGAGAGAGAGAGAGAGAGAGAGAGAGAGAGAGAGAGAGAGAGAGAGAAGTGATCTTAAGAGTATAAAGATAATGTTTCACTTCATGACCAAATCTTTTAATGGTCGTCTGTTGCTGTGTAACAGTTCAAAGAGTTCATGGTAGAAAGGAGATGGCACTTACCCAGTAAAGCATTCATTTAGATTCCATGGGGAAAAGGATTGTTTCATCCTTTTATTAATTCATATAAGAACATTTACATATTGTTAAAACATTGAGTGAGAGAGAGAGAGAGAGAGAGAGAGAGAGAGAGAGAGAGAGAGAGAAGTGATCTTAAGAGTATAAAGATAATGTTTCACTTCATGACCACACCGCCCATATCTGACTCTGTACAGAATCATACACCACATACAGAGTCCCCTCTGCAATATTTCAAGCTGGCACCTCACGCTCGTAACTGAGCTATATTGTCTCTTATAGAAATGGATGCAGTCAAACTATTTACATTCAGCACTTTGGTTCTGGACATTAAAAAAAATTTAAATGCCACATTATGGCAATGCATGGAGATTGAAGGTAGGACCCTGGACTGACCCCTCTGAGATTAAATGTTATTTGAATTTTATTCCAAAAATTGGTGGATATACAGGCTGTTTATGAAATGGCAGAGATACAGTTTCAGTCTTGAAATGTTTACAGCATGGAAAAGCTGCCTGGAATGCTGTATTCATACAGATATACAGGTATGTGTGTCTGGCTATCTGCAACACAGAAATGAAGTTTAAAGACGGGATTGGAAAAGTTGATTGCAACCAGAATTAAGAACGGAGATGAGATGTCCTGAAATAGCATTTCTGAGGTTTTCTTAGAGTCCTGACGTGTGTAAATTGATTCAGCAACTAGTGACGCCAACGGATACCTCAAACTCCAGGAGCTAGATTCGCTTGACAACATGCCATTTTGTTTCAGAGCATGCTCAGTAAATAACTACAGGCTGAAATTAATTAATGCAATGATTTCACTACAAATATTTATTTTTTGCCCCCTTACCGCAGCATTTCTGTGCACATTAGAGGATTTTTTTTTTTCATAGAATGCTAATGAGGACCGCTTTTCGATTGCTTTCCTCGAATCTGAAAAACCTCACATTTTATTTTTAAATCACTGAAACTGCATGCAGAAAAGGCCTGAAAGTAGGTCACATTTGACATGTTTCTAGAAAAGCATAATCTTGTGTATCTGAGAGGCAAAATCAGAATAAAACCCTTGGTGAATTCCCAAAGAAATGAAAACAAAGCTGCTTGTATCTGTTACAGTAAAGAATCTGAGAGATGTCTGGCCTGTGTTGAATGTAAAAGCTTCAAATGTAATACAGAGTACAGTGTTGCATATTAGGTGAAAGATAGCATGACATCTGCTAAAGGAAAGATGAAATTGTTAAATCGGGTATCCCAAAGATGGCTGGATATGGCATATAAGTATGTTCACTTTGACATGAGAGTGTATAGCAACACGTACAGCAGAAATTGAGTAGATGGTCAGCACCTTGTTAAATAATGAATTTTCATCTCATGCCTTTGCACAGGAAAATGTAATAGCTTTCTCAGTCAACTGTGCACATAAACAAGAATGAGACCACGATGGCTGGAGTGATTTTAATCAGAAATATATTAGATTGGAGGATAAAAAACAAACAAACTAAAAACTGAGATATGGACGCAAGATGAGATATATAGGTGACACTATGTAATAACTTTCATATCTTTTTATATCATACATTTTTAAACAATACATTATGCCTATGTAATTCTTAAAAGATCATTTGTTAATATAGATTACATTATACATGAATGTGATATTCAGAATTTTATATACAGTATGCTGTAGTTCAGAATTTGGGGTTAGTAAGAGTTTAATTTATCTAAAATATTTATCAATAAATTAATACTTTTATTTAGCAAGGGCATATTAAATAGATGGTGACAGTAAAGACATTTATGATTTTACAAAAGATTTCTATTTAACATAAATGCTGTTGAATCCTGGAAAATATATATATCACGGTTTCCACAAATGTATGAAGCAGCACAACTGTTAACAACGTTGATTATAATAATAATTAAAACAAACAAATCAGCATATTAGAATGATATCTGAAGGATCCCGTGACACTGAATACTGAAGAAATGGCTGCTGAAAATTCTGCTTTGCCATCACTGGAATAAATTACATTTTAAAATATATTAAATCTATTAAAAAATAAAAGATAAAGCATTAGAGACGAAGAGACTTCTTTCAGAAACATTTTAAAAATCTTACCGATCCCAAACCTTTGGACCATAGTATACAGATATATATATATACATATATATATATTGTTTAGAACTTAATTTATGAAAGTTATTATAAAGTGTTTTGCAAAAAATGCAAAAATACATTGTAACAGGCAGTTTAGTCATAATAAATCTTAAAATACAGAAATATTCAGATTGTGTTTCTCAAGAGCGAGGCTATGTCAGTTTACATAGGGCTGTTGTGATTGATTAGACGCCCTTCACTGTCTTGACAATTTATTGAAGGGCGAAATCTGATTCCTGTCTTAGACATTAAGATAAACAACTCATATTTAAAGACTCCCTGTGATTTCCATCTTCTGAATTTAGCGAGAATGTTTTTCCCCCTTCACAGTTGAGTCACGGATATATCGTGACAGACAATGTGAAGGTCCTACAGCTCTCCATGACAACAGCATAAATTGCACTTTTTATTCTAGTTTAGTTTTTTATGTTGCACTGTAAAAGTTGCTCCTCGTATATTGAACGATCCATCTTATCTTGACAGGAAACTGATCATTTTTTTTATGTTGATGCATATATGCAATTTTCACAGACATTTCCACACATTGCAGTTTTATATAAAAAGCAGTAATAAATGCTCTGTGTTGTCAAAGGCTGTAATTCTGTGGCTGTTTGTGTTGACAAATGCAACAACCCAAGTAACTTAATCAAGAACACTTAAGCAGTACATATACGGTTATTAAATGCTGAGTGGAAATAATTGCCTCAAGATGTAGAGATACTTAATGAATTGATGTATTACAGTTATGCCTTGTCACATCATCATATGTCTAATAGAAAAGCATGGAAATGTTGTGGGAAACAAAGCTATTGAACCAGGTGATGTAAATGTTACTCTGCATTTGCACATAGATAACATGTAATGTACTCCTCATGTAATACTTAAATTAAGAATTGACATTTACAGATTAGAGGTCACTTTAATTGAAATCAGAATTTAGTATAGAGGAAAAAGGAGGAAAAGAACAAGAAGAGGAAAAGAACGAGAAAAAAGTAGTTTCTTCTTTTTTTCTTAAAGAGAGAGTCATACAGCCAAGTGTGCTTTGATATCAGAACAGAGACTTCACTTCATAAGGCAATTGTTTTGTGTTGAAGTGTGGGGCGCTTTTTTTTCTTTCTTTTTTCAAAAAAGTACAAATATGGTTGTTTATCGGTATATATCCAAGAAGCAATGTGAAGCTTTTCACATCTTGAATGAGATGAGCAGTATTTACAAAGTGGCCCACAAACCTCTTCAAAACAATATCGTAAGTATGTACTGTAACCTTTTGGTTGCCTTCTCAAAAGAGATTTCAGTGAACCAAAAAAACAATTATAATAATAAAGAAATTTCGCCATTCAGTTTGCTTTTATGATTACCTTTTGGTTTAGCCATATCTCTGAATACAAAGGAAATTCTATCCAGCATTCTGGTATTTCAGTCCCACATTAAATACAGATATACAGATCTCACAATACATGATGCTACTCCAGATAAAATAGAAAAGCACAAATTTGAATCTTTGCTGATTGTTATAACCATTGGACCACTATGCTCAGACACTTTACATCGGAATAGATTTCTTATTATCAATTCTCCGGATTCATCTTGAAAATTGACATCACCAAGAATAACTACAACACTAGCACATACGTGCTAAAAAATTGTAGCTATATATTCTCACTTAAAATGTTCCTATTCATGAATCATGTAGAGGCAGTCCCCATCATCTCAAAAGGAACCCTTACTCAAAGACAATAAGTAGTTTGACTGTAGGCTAGCTCCAACAAAGTTTTCCCAGCAAGGGAATATTCTGGGAACTTACAGCTTCTAAGGTACGCTCCTGTATGAGTTACAATCAAAAATTCTGTTTCTTACAATTGCTGCCCAAAGGAAGAGAATTGAAAGACAATCTCATCCACAAACATTTACACACACACTGACAATATATTTATTTTCCCTTTCTCTCTCATCACATTTACAAATACATTCTCACAGGCAGGCAAAAATGAGCGACAGAGGCTCATTTGAGCTAGCTGCACAGCTGGCTGAGTTCTGGCTCAGTGGAGTTGGGGAGCTTGGCGTTGAAACTCTGGAGCACCTCCCGTATGCGGGCCACCTCGCTGGACGAAAACTTGAGCCTGTGGCGCAGCAGGCAGGAGAAGAGGTCCAGCGGCTGGGCTCCTGGCGGAGAGAGCCGATTAATGCGGTCCCTCATCTCCAGAAGCATCAGGAAGGCCGCATCCTGCGAGCCCTGCGTGTACGGGTAGTCCAACTGCAAGATCAGGTCCTTGATCCCCTCTGGATCAAAGTGCATGCTGTAGCCAAAGACCTTCAGGCTGTTGATTTTCATGTAGCCCAGGTTGGCCGAATGGTCGTCCAGGTCCAGTGGCTCATAAAAAAGCGTCTCATTGACGGTGGGATCGTCTGTGATTATGCGACTGCGCAGGTAAATGTGCACCGTTTCGAAAAAGGACTTCCACTTGCTGCCAAGAGCTAGGGTCCAGTTATAGCACTGGAGCGAGGCATCCAATTTAGTTCTTTCCCAGTCTGGGAAGTCCTGCTGGTTGACGGGCATAAACCAGCTCTCAGAGTGGCTGCCCCCGAAGGGGTTGACATAGATTGCCGGCACGGGTTCCAGCGTGCTGTTCTTGGTGGAACAGATCTGGAAAGAGATCCCCATCAGCATGTGGATAAGGTTGGATTTGTTCTTGTTGCTCTTGAGGGTGATCAGCATGCGCTTTCTCCACGCCGGGTTGAACCAGCTGCCCAGACGCACATCGTTGCTGATGTAGATTGCGTGGACCTCCATGCGGCTGTCGAGCCTTTGGAGGAGGTGACGCATTTCTGCGTCCGGCATGTCAAAGTCAAAGTTGATGTAGTGGTCCAAAGAGTTGGCAATGTTGGGGCGACAGAATCCCATATGGAGGATGCTGCCTGGGAGGCATGTGCCACAGCGGGTGATGTTGTCTGGGGCGCAGGACGAGCAGAGGGTCCCCTCACCCACCTTACATGGCACGTTGCCCTGGCAGACAGTACGTTGCTCTGCGGCGCAGATGCAGCCATGCATTTCCTTGGAGAAGGTGCCGTACACACCATGCTCGCTGCAGTATAACAGAGACGGAGCTTTGTTGAGCCAAAAACCCAGAGTCCTGCAAGGAAGAAGGTGATAATTACAGACGAGATTAATTCCTGAAAAAATTACAGGCTTGGCTTTACTAAATGAAGATGAAATCAAAATAAATCTGGGCTTCGTTGACATGAAAAATTGTTCCCTAACATGTTAAAATTGTTAAGTCAAGACTTGACATCGGCCTTATTTTCTTTGTGGTAAATGAGGCATTAATTTCCTCTTGCTGATTGATACGAATATTAATCGAGTGCTGATGACCCATTCTTTGACAAATGCAAATTGTTCTTAACCAGTAGAGGACGTGAGTTATAAAAGCCTTTGGGAATGCGTGTGAGGAGACAGTGCATTCTTTTTATTCTCTTTCATCCAATTTAGCGAGAGACAAGTCACTTAAATAAATGCTCCAACTCCATGGGCTCTCCATTATCTTCCTACTCACTTCACAACTGTTGACGCATACTTAATGCCATGCATACATACATAAAATGTCTTGCATCACATGCCCTTTCTGTTGGCTGCCTCCCTGTGGGATTTCATTTCATCAGGCTTCCTGTTGTCCTGGACTCTTTAGTTTATTAATAACCTTATAAATCCAATAATGTAACATGTACTTCTTGTTCAGGAGAGCTTTTGATGTCAAGATGCGATTCAGGAAGAAACAAAAACAAAAAAACATTGATTTTGTGCATTTGTGTCTGCAATGTTAGCGGACAGATTGGATATTCCCCTATCAATGCTTGTTGTAAGTCACTGAAAATGCGATGGCAGTGATTGACGTCAAATCTGGTGGACACTTTTCCGGGTCAGTACTTACAGTAAACCTTAGGTTGTGTAAATGCAGATATCGGATATGGGTCACTTTAAAAAGAAGATATAAACTGGTTGTCAAAAAAATTCGGATATAGTCAACAAATCAGAATTGGGCATCAAGACATGCAGTGTAAATGTGGCCTAAATCAATCATTCTCAATAAATTAAATCTATTAATATCCCCCCAGCCTCATTCCTCATCTCTCTTTTCAGATATCTGACAACTGTTTGTTTTCAGAATCAAAAACCAAATAATTGTCCTGTAAGAACAACAGCTGGACCATGAAATAGTGCATCTTTATTGCCTCTAAGCCATTCTCTAAATAAACCATACAATTTGGTATATATTGAGAGAGAACCTACCAACAGCCTTATAGACACAGATCCACAAAGACAAATGTATAAAGGCTAAAGTATTTGTTTAAAATATTTCTGATCAATAGATTAAAGGAATAGTTCACCCAAAAATAAAAATTATGTCATCATTTACTCAGCCTGGAATGGAAAACAAGATATTCTGAAGAACTGTTTTTGTCTGGAAAATAAAAGTTAATGGGGTCCAAAATGCTGTACCCCATATACTATCCATGCATGGACAGAAATAGCATGAGAGTGAGTAAATGATGGACGTTTCAGTTTTTGGATGAACTAACCATTTAATCAAAAGTTACTAAAACTCACATTGTATATGCTACCCTATGTGTTTTGCAATGAATGTGAAAAAAAAGATCATATGGCCTTGTACCTTTCTCTAGGCAGGCTGATCGTTGGCTGTGTAGGACAGCGCTTGCTGAGAGTGAAGAGTTTGCGCACTATCTTGATGGCTTTTCCCAGCACCACTTTAGTGCTCGCCTCCAGCAGACCATAACGTCTCTGCAGGACCAGATCTGACGTCCAGAACTTTAAGACGGCAGAGGTATTTAAAAAATGATCCGTTGGCAATTTCTTGAGAAAGGCCTTGAACTCATCTGAAAAACAGAAGGAGAGTGAGAAAAGTTACTATGGTTATTATTACTGTGAAACCTTGGAGAAGGTGAATGAACTATATTGAGCTGTAATGACTTTCAAATCTAAGAGATGAGAGAACATGGTTTATGATATGAGTACATGAGTTATTGAGCGACTCAATGTGGGTGTTGTAGGAAAAATACAGCAGAGGCAATAACGTTAATCACGTGACATAAGTACATGTCACCTAACTATATAGCAGCAATTTAAAGTGAGGTTCTATTTAAACTTTGACAATAATTGTGCACTGCAATTGATCACGATTTGAAATAAAGACAAGCTAATTTGTCTTCCGCACAGACAGTTTAGTTATAGAAAAACTCATACTTCTTAATAGAATTTCCCAATAACTTCCATTGCAAAATGTCATACAAGCTAGAAACAGTGACTCATTAGGGAAATTATCAAATACGAGTCATCTCGAAATGTTTTCGGGCCACTTAAAAAGACATTAGCATCCCTCAAAAACTGAGAGAAATGAAGACATTTGTGTAGCACTGAGGAGACGAGCACCAATCCCCCATTGCAAAGCCATGGAGAAAGAGCTCTATTGATGTCACAGGGCATTACAATGTGCAGTGATCCCGTGAGCGCTGAGCCCAGAGGCTCCAGCACACAAGACTAAAATCACAGAGATAACATTAGCATTGGCTCATACTTTCAGTTAAGCTCAGTTTGATCTCAGACTCCCTCTTTCTTCTTCTTTTCCCCTGTCATTTTGTCTAAACATGTGTCTCTGTTTGACTCTGACAGCAGAAGAAAAGCCTACAGTGACCAATGTCACAACATAAGTGTATTACAATTATCAGGGAGGTCTGGAAGTGCATAATCATGTTGTTTGCTAATGTGATGTTGACTATATAAAACTAATAATGATAAGTGCGTGTTGAACCTATATAATGAAAGCATTTCCACTGCACAGATTCATTTAAAAAATGTACATAAATATATGGCATATGTTTTTTTAGTTATTCAGTGAGAAAAAAATAAATTAAATAAATAAATAAAAAGGTAATCGTGAGGTAATCGTTTTTATCTTGAGTTTATATCTAGCAATTTATATATTTATATATATATATATATATATATATATATATATATATATATATATATATATATATATATATATATATATATATGTGTGTGTGTAATAGGGGTGTTGCAATATACCTGTATTGATGATATTGTGTTATTTTAAAAAAATGTAATCGTGTTAATTAGGGGTGTTGTGATATACCCGTATTGGCAATAACCATGACATTTCAAAATGAATGTCACACAGCGCTAAACTCTCACTTGTCTTATTCATACTCGATGTCCGTGGGCATACAATTTTTTCTTTTATTGTTATAATTAATTAAAATATTTTTTATTTTTCAAGATTTCTATATCGCAATATATGGTCCTTTTGGCCGCGATAATGATGTAGATCATGTAGTGAAAAATTTGATATCTTGACAGTCCTACTTAATTGAACATTAGCGACTAATATCTAATCTCTTAATAGATCAATAGTGACTAATATTAAATCTCTTAATAGAACAATAGAGACTGATATTTAATCTCTTAATAGAACAATAGGACTGATATTTTAATCTCTTAATAGGAGAAAAGGGCTAATATTTTAATCTCTTAATAGAACTATACGACTGGGAGAGGTTGGAATGGAAGATACAGTTTGTGTGGACAGGTGTCTTATACACCTAACAAGCTGACATTAGGAGTAACTTCTTAAAGTGACAGGACTAATCTGTGTTCCACATAACCAGTCTGTGGGAGCCAGAATTCTTGCTGGTTGTTAGGGGATCAAATACTTATTTCACTCACTGATATGTAAATCAATTTCTAACCTTTATATGATGTGTTTTTTCTGGATTTTTTGGTTGGCATTCTGTCTCTATAAGTTAAAGTAAACCTACCATAAAAATGACAGACCCTTTATTTTTTGTAAGTGGGCAAACTTACAAAATCAGCAGGGGATCAAATAAATATTTTCCCCACTGTAATGTTATCGTGTTAATTAGCGGTGTTGTGATATGATGTGATATCAAAATTAAAATGCACATGCCAAACTCTCATATGTAACTTAGGTTGGCATTCTGTCTCTATAAGTTAAAGTAAACCTACCATAAAAATGACAGACCCTTTATTTTTTGTAAGTGGGCAAACTTACAAAATCAGCAGGGGATCAAATAAATATTTTCCCCACTGTAATGTTATCGTGTTAATTAGCGGTGTTGTGATATGATGTGATATCAAAATTAAAACGCACATGCCAAACTCTCACATTGTTTCATTCATACTCAATGGCAGAGGGCACCCTTGTACAGCAAGTCCAATAGCGAGACTCACAGGAGTAATAAAACAAATGACCTTCCAGGAAATCCCCTATATGGACCAAGGCATCCAACTATCGCTGTAGCTCAGGGGTCGGCAACCTATGACACGTGTGCCAGAGAGACAAACACTGGCATGTGACCACTAGGAAAAACTGCGTACATTTTGATGTAATCAGTCCTCATAGTCACACAGCCCATTAGGAGCTATAAATACTATTGAAGTGTAAGAATTAACCTGTGCCAGTCTAAAGATGTGCGTGGTTAACAGTGCTTGTCAATGTCAAAGTAATTGAGATGGCCAATCAAATCAAAGTAGACGGGGTTTACTGTTCACAGAAAACTGAGCGCAAATGCCAGCGTGAAGCGTCAGTTCAACATTGAATAGAGATGGAAGATGGAAATTTTGCAATTTGAATACAGTGCAGATGGGAATGTTTGACTGATGAAACGTGAAGAGAATCAGCATCAGTATATGGTTTATCTGTGTTCCTCAAGCCATCCTGGATATTTTTCATAAGGATAATGTAATACTAATCAAAGTCATTTATAAATATAAACAAATGACTTCAGGTATTCAGTTTAGTCATTTTGTTTTGCACTGTCAAATGTAATGTCAGAAAATATTTCTGTGGCTCTCATAATGCTTCAAAAAGTTAGAAAGCCTTGCAGTCCTTGACTGAATGAGCTCAATAACATTTCATTTTACAGTAACTGTATTCGGATGATTCTTACATCTGAATAGATGCTTTATCACTCCCTGAGATCTGCAGCACATTTGCTTTCATTACGTGACAACAAAAGCAAGCATTTAATATGTACATGTATATTTCAAATATAACCTCGAGGGGCTGAGATCAGGGTTGTGGTATGCTAATGTAACCCAATAAAACCATAGCAGTTCATTCTCTACCCGATCATAACCTGCCGTCCCTTTCCCACATACCGGCGTAAAATGTAGCCATACACAGCAGTGCTTTTATGAGGATTTTCTCACTCCCTCTCTCTCTTTTTCACTCTACTTTCCTTCATTTGCCTTCCACTGTTTACAGTCGAAGCTCTCCCCTTCTATCTTTTCCCCATCTTTTTATCTCCTCCTTTATCTTACATTCTGCTGGAGATCTCATTATTCACAGCACATTTACAATTTGAACTTTTCTCCCCTTTTCTGCCTTATTCTTGCATTTATGACTTTATGTTCCAATTTATGGACTATATAGCCCTTCCTAAAAATGTCAGATGGAATGATGAGGTTATTTTCCTCAAAACACATTCTCATTTTGTATATTAGTACTTTCTATGAACAAGGAGAAAAGGGAAATTACTGCTGCCTATGCACGTTCAAGAACATAATGGCATTCATGCTCATTATATAGTGCGGTCCAAATGTCAGAGACCATTGTTGATAATATGGTATTCAAGTCAAATTTAAACCTAAAAGTAAACAAAGACTTTGAATTTTGAATTTTTTTTTAAACAAATAAATGTTATGATGAGGTTTAAAATATCAAATGAATATAAGAAATATTTAATCAAATAACTAAATTAGTGACATTGTGTGGGCGCCTTTGTTCATATTAACTTTTATATGCAACCAAACACAATCCTCAAATGTATTTGTACAGAAATGTCCCTCTGTTGGGAAAGTTAGTTGTATGTATATGGTGAGTTCACTCTTACGATGAAACAACAAAATCCCCTTCTTGGGATCATTGTAAAAGAGAAGAACACTTTGACATTTACACTGTGTCATACAGTTATTTCTTATATTGCATCCTGTGTTGCATCTCCACTTGGTATGGACTTTGAAAACTACAAAGACAGCTGGAGGAAAAGGAATCAATAACGGCTGCTGATGTAACTATGACTATAAACTACAAAACTCAGTCAAGATAAGAAAAACGGCCTTTCACACAATGTCGAAGTTATTATAACATACAAACAAACAAATTAATAAATGCACAAATGAATGACCAAAAACCATACAAACAAACAAATGAATGAACAAATGAAACCAGATCTAGTTGTCAAACAGGAAAGTTGACATAAGGACTATATCTTAGTAACTATAAGGTTTTCACTCACAAGTCCAAACATTTAGTAATCATTGTATTTGTTGGTCAAAACAACACTCTGATATTGCTTTTACAGCCTTACATGCTGTTTTATGCATTGTTTTATGGTTTAAATTTTGCTTTTTTCGGAGGTTTAATTGCATGTTTCATTCCCCATTTGGCAAAAGGTGAAATTAACTATAGTTTAAAGTGTTTTTTTTTTACTACATAGAAATTGACTGTATAGAAAATGACTTTAAAAAATAAACCCATCCTGAGAAATATTCAAGAGAATAAAAAGTGTGACAACTACCCTAGGTTTCCTCTACAATAATCTCACAGGGAAAATCATGAAGACAATAGAACTAGCAAATCCCCAACAGAGTTTTTCTTAGAAAGCCATACGACGTACTTGAAAATAAAACTCTTTTCCTCTAGTTAAAATGCACAAACCCGCTGCAGTTTTTTGTGTTCTCCTTTATTTCAGATATTCCGTTTCAAAGTGCCTCTTAGACTTCAGCTAAATGTGTTCATTTTGTGCATAAAGCTGCAGTGATCTGCCTTTTTTGTGCGTCAGACAGCTAACCGAGCCAAGCGTCCCTGCAGGTATGGCTGATGTTTTGTAATTATAAGCAAACCATCAGTGCGATGCAAACTATTCACATGTAGATGCACTGAGGAACTTTAACTTTTGATATCAGGCTGAAAGCAGATGCAGGCAATGTTGCTGAAATTACCTATTATAACATGGCCTTATATTTTTTTCATCAGATGCAAATGGGCTCACAAATTCATTACACCTATAATGAACTGTTTTGCATCTAAATAGCAAAAGAAACAACTATCAGCCCCAAACTCCACAGAAGTTCCATTTAATGCAAAGCGAAATACAAGTTGTGTGGAGTTTTTTTTCTACTAGTTTACAGTGTTTTGAAATACTCAAACTGTATAAAATTAAATTATTAATCAGGACAGAGAAGATAAAAAAGATCAAGGATGTACCCTCTACCCTTCAGATTATTATTATTGTGATTTCTTCCCTTCGCTTTTTTTTTATAAATATTTTTTTTTTCACAGAGAAAGCAGGACACCTGTACAATATATTCAAATGAGCACTTTTCCCTCTTCATGGGAAGAAGTGGTCGTGTTATCTCTACCGGACACCCTGCAGAACACAGTGCCGCCTGGCCTCTATGCGTCTTTTATATCTCCCAAGTGGAATGTGATTTTAAAGCCGGTGAAAATTTGGTGGCTCCCAGAGGACAGGGCATAATTCACTGATTGATCAAAGCACAGGTAACGGAGGGGTGGCTGAATTACGGCTTGTCAGGAGAAGCTGTCTGGTGGCAGGGTCCTGATTAGACATTTCTCGCAGTGTTAGAACGAAATGAAGGATATTCGCTCTGTTAATCAGTCAACCCTGCTCTTTTTTTCCCCTGAACATTAATACAGAATTGAGTTCTCCCTGTAATTGTGCAAGAAGACAGTTGTGACACGAACAAGACACCGTTTAAAGTCTGTAGAGGGAACTGAAGTAGTGAAATAAACCTGGCAGTGAAACAATGACAGATTTTCATGGACTCACCGACTTAACACATCTCCAATGAAAACCACATACGTATGTGTTGTTACATTTCCAGGCATCGGCCCAAGCCTTTGAATCATCCTTCTTTATTACTGACAAACAAAAGTTTGTTTTGGAAGTATACAATGCCATCATAATGCATAGATGGTTAGACTCTGTTGAAAGAGTCTGTATCTTTTAGAATAAGAATGAACGGTCACAGGAGCTTGTCTGTAAAAATATTGTTTCCTCCATTCCTGCTGTCATCAGAGCTCCAAAGCAGTCACTGAAATATACCCCTCACTCCCTTTCGCTGTTGCTGGAACCCTGAGCCATAAATATAGAGCCTTTAGCC